AGCACAAACCGATAGAGGCGCAGCCTGGAAACATGGAGGACTCCTGGCACCCCGTTTCCCTGATCTGCTCACTATTGGATCCCACTGCCTCTGTGGACGAGGGGGGGGGCGCACCGTGTTTGTGTGGACTAAAAATGGGTCAGGCTTCCAGCTCCAGCCACAGCACACACAAGCGTGGATGAGCGCTTCTGAAAAGGAGGGTCTCGCTCTTTCAGCGTCTAAGGAGGAATGCTTCCTGTGGATCAGCTGCTGGTGTGTGTGTATGACACAGTGGCAGCCCAGTAGGAGATGCATCGATTAATAATAACCCCCCCTTGTTTCCCATCATGCAACCACTTGTCCTATTTTTTTAGCACTAAGCTTTGAAATCTCCATGCAGTTAACCCCGTGCACCGCTCGTAGGACAGCATCCGTCCTTAGCGTGAAAATGTTTTCAATACTTGCACAGTGCAGGAATAAGTCAGAGCTAAACGTCTTGTAAACATATAAACTAGACCTTAATATTTGAACAAAAAAACTATGAGCAAGCACATTTTACTCCCTGGTGATCAAATTGAACCATGAATCATTTCTGCCACGCCATCATTGGAAAAGTGGGGCATTGAAAAATGTTTGGTCTTTGTTGTTGAAAACTCATCGAAAAATGCAAATGAGTAAGCAAATTTTCTTAAATCAAAGCAATGACCTGGATACCAAAACTGACTTTTTAATCAACAACACAAACACACACAAAAACAAAGTCTAAAACCTTCCTCCCCCAGACACAGCTGATATTTTACCAAGACCTAAATCCTCTTCCACGCACACACACACACACACACATCTGCAAATTTTGGCTGGTGCTGCTACTGGACTGTGCCTCCGCCTGCCCTCCCCATCTCTCTGTCTCCGTCTCTCATTCGCCCGTCTTTGTCCTGTGAAGCACCACAGATCCAGTTAGTGGGGGAGACTGATGCTGGCAGGCCGTGAACACCATCTGCTCCTCTTGACTAAGACAGAGCTACTCGACCACACTGAACCGACTGGGACTGAGCACACAGGCTCCTACTGATGGGTGAAAAACACTATGATGACTAAGATAACTATATGAAAGAGGATGGACAGAAAATGAATCGTTCCTGATTAAGGGAATAGTTTGGCATTTTCAGAAATACTTGCTTTCTTGCCGAGAGTCTTGTATCTGTACAGTTAACAGGATGCTACAGCCAGGAGACAGTTAGCCTAGCTTAGCATAAAGATTAGAAAAAGGGGGAAACATCTGTTTAAACAAACAATTAAATATGGCCAGTGAAGGTGGTCAGACTATGAGTGATGTCAGTGAATGACTGGTGGGGGGCTCCAACGGACGTGTAAGATACTTTTCAGTTATAATCATAAGCCTGCGATGACAATGAAATTTAACTGAAATCTCTCAAAAAGCAGCTTTAATTGCATAAACGATTTTCCTTAAATTATGATTATCTGCGCACTCACCATCCATCCATCCATCCATCGTCAACTGTTTATCCTGTGTACAGGCACCTAAAATCATAATTATATGGACATTCTATCATTATAACTCTTGTAACTGAAAATGTGTTAATGTGTGAGGTTCACCCTAAAACCTCTTATTGTGAAGGGGATGGCTGAGTGCAGTCTAAGGTGTGGACCCAAATGCAGACTATACGCAAAGGTGCAGTTCAGAAGATTTATTAACTCAAAAACCAAACTGAAACAAGCTTACGTGAAAGTGCAAGGCAAAGTCCAAAACTGAGGTAACCCAACAAAGAACAAAGTAGTATCCACAAGGTAAATCCAAGAACACGGGGAACAAGACACGGCTGAACACTCAACACAAGACTAAGGACGTCACAAAGACTAACAGCACTAAAGGCTTAAGTACACAGGCAAACGAGCAGGAAGGGAAGCAGAGCTGAAACATGGGAATATGGGAACACACAAGGACAGAGTTACCAAAGAAAAACAGAAAACAGGGAACAACAGCATGACAGAACAAAACCAGGGCAGGGAACACAGACAGGACCAAACAGGAAACAAGACTACACAAACAAGGAGACATAGGACTAAGGGCTACGACACAGATACAAGGAGAGAACAGACAGGGCACAGTGATCAGGGGTAGCAGGTAGAAAACTAACAACCAAACAGAAAGACAGAGGATAGGATGAAACAAGACCAAAATAATAACAAACACCGAAGTACACAGACCAGGAATAACACAAGGACCTGAACTAAGGCACAGGACTAAGAACTAAGGCACATTACTAAGAAGTAAGATAAGAGACAAGACAGATACTAAGTAAACTTAAATATGCGAAAGAACAAAAGACTAAACTTTACAAGATCAAATAAAGCATACAGAATCCAAAACCAAACCCATGAAAATAGACTAAACAGGAAAATACATGAACACAAAACCACATTCCTAACACTTATAATTTAATTTAATCTAATCTATCCAATAAAAAATGGCTAAAATAGCTTAGTCGATTTTCAGAATCGTTGTCTGTTAACTAATCAATTAACTGACTAATTGTTTCAACTCTGATTGGAACTACGTAAACGCTGGATCTACACAACAGCACTCTCACATTGTTGACAGTAACAACTGCAGGACCTGCACAGCGGCCTCTGCATTCAAAGGCACCTTGCCCCTTATCTGTGTGAGTGTGCTGCTCTTTCAGCTCTCCCACCAAGACCCTAAGGACTTGCACCAGTTACTTTTGGGGAATGAGTGATGTGACTAATTGTGTTTCCCCTAAGCCCCCATTCACACTGCGTTTTGTTTTAAAACAGAGACCTTTTGCTACGTTCACACCTCCTGTCCAGACCAAAACGGTGAAAACGAAGACCTAAAACGGAGAAGGTTGAAAACGCTGCCGACCCCGTTTTTTGTTGTAAAAAGGGTTGTTTTAGTGCGGACGGGCAAAAATGAAGGACTGGTGTAGATAAGACAGTGAAAGACAGTGAAACCATGCAGCCCTGTTGGTGACTTTGCAATTGTAAAGTGTGAAACTAAATCAGAGTGTCTGCTACTATGTGATCCACCCAGCCAGAGCTTCAGTCAGTGACCTGATGGAGAGGAGAGGATGTCGTCCATCCACCAATGTGCAGAATGGGCTGATTTCTCTCTCTCTCTCTCTTCAAGGAAACATCCCACTGAAAGTGTCTTCAACAAAAATCAGTAGCCTTAATCACAAGATGAAATGACATCCACATGGCAACAGTAAAAATAGATCTAACTGTGTTGTCCTGTGGTTACAAATATATTCAGCACAGCATCACTCTGACTGAACAAACACTGATCTGCTCCTCCTGTCGTCAAAATAATGTTACGCTAAAAATAGCCTGAAATCAAATAGTCTGGGTTGGGTCGATTGAAGCTGAATTCAGTCCAAGCATTGGCATTTACATAATGCCCGGGAGTTTTTTCAGAGAGCTGTGGAAATTGTGGAGCAGGAGCCAGAAAGATTCCTAGATATCACTTAAAATCTACTGATGAGCCCTAAATTGGATCAGAATATAAATAAATTAAGAAGAGGGCAGCAGCACACAAAGTACTTTAACTTCTTAGAAAGATGAACAACAGCTTTCTGGAAACAAAACAGCAACACACAGGGCTGACTCCTGCTTATGACAAACTGTTCGTCAGAATATAGACAAATAAAGGAAAGACATGATAGCAGGGATAAGAATAACAAAAAACAAAAAGTAATTCCTTTCCTGAAGCAAGTAGATTTCTTTTTTCTTGCTGCTACAAATGCTGCAGTACAACCCTTAAATCATGCACCAGTTGTTATTGCTAATTCAGCTTTGTTATCTTACACAGTAAAGGCTGCGTGTGCTGGACCCAATGACATGTATCAGCAGAAAAGGAACAGTGGGCTGCAGAAGATTCCTGTACAGCAATTTGATTTCAGGCTTTCTGCTGTCTGCATGTCTGAGTAAACACTGTGCCAGTAATGGAGGCTCAAACAGTGAGCACACAACAGCATGTCATCATTTCCTTAAATAAAACATATGTTCCAGCGTCACCCACATTTATGTCACCATGGGCATACAGGAATTGTATGCATTTCAGTGTAAGAACATTACATTTTCCTTATTGACGCCTCCATCCACCACCCTGTAGGCCCTGAATCAAAAAATATTGGAATATTTATAGTGGAAAGATCTCAAATATCAGATCTATCAAAATATGCATTTTCAGTTCCAGATTTAAAAGACAGGGCAGATGCAATGGTGACATGATTTTATGAGTACATGTGGAAGCATGGTAATTAGGAGTGCCATTTTTATTTGTATTTTATGCTGCTTATGCTGCATTCCCTGTCTTATGATGATGTCTACTCTTCTCACCCTGAAATGACGTTGAAGTTGGACCCACTGCCATGTTACAGGTCCTCTAGACAATGTTTTAAGATATATGGGCTACACAAATAAGTTTGTGTCTGCCATGGTTTTGTCAACAAAAACGTTTAATTGGTCTCCTACTTTCCTGAAAAGTCCATGTAAAATGCATGACGACGGGCATCAAAACAAATCACAAAATCATGGATTTAAGGTGAGCACAGAGAAAGGTTCCACTTTCAGCTGCATACATTCTGCACAGTGAGGCTCAAACGTCAAAGTGAAGTAGGCTAACACATTTTCTGAACAGAATTTAAAACTAATACAACCTAAATGTCAAAAATAAACTCCAAACTCCATTAGACTAACGTTATATTAGGCACTGAGTAGAGGGATGACTACAACCGCTGTAACAGGGAACAATCACATTAAACACTGCCATACTATGTGTTTTTTCCTACAAACTGATTGCTGCCGCGCCCTGTTTGCCTCCATTGTAATAATAAACACGATTAATCAAATTTGAGCCGTGGAATCGTTGAGGCTCATTGTCTAAACGTCAAATCACACACAAAAAAACTACAATTCCCGGAAGCACCTAGGAGTGGGGAGCCAACCAATGATTGGCAGCAGACGGCGTGACGGCACTCGCTTTGGTCCATTTATGTGCACGCGCGACACGCTCGCGCAGAAGGCTCGTGGTGACTTCTGTGAGAGAGGAGCACAGCGTCTGCGGCTTGTTGAAGGTGGGTGTGACTGACAGCATCTTTTTACCGAAGAGGTCCACAGGAATTACATTTGTGGCTGAATTAAACGCCATGTGAAGAGACGCATGCGAGACAAGTTTAATTGTTTTTTTTTTATGGGTTCGGTGTTTTTGCATAGCAACGTTAGAATTTTCTTCTGTGAATGGTGTCACTTGAGTCAGAGTAATAGCATGTGAGCCAACAAACATTATGACCCGACAGGTTTTCGTTAGACATTTTCGACCTCGTTCGGCATTTCATTCGTTTGTGACTTATTTCAACGGCAGAACGAGACTGAGGCGGCTGTTGCTGCTCTTTGTGGCGTGTGGTTGGCGGGTTAGCCTTTTGTATGGTGGGAGACACTGGCACCGTTGGCAGAGACAGACGAGGGTAGACTTCGATTACTTATTTAATGTCTGTGAATTTGTGGGGCGCAGACACACTTTGTCCTTTTTGTGTCATCCCTCATCGACGCCAACATGTGAGCAAAACTTAATTCTTGGACATTTTCGGTGGTGATAAAAAACCTGCCGCCCGCTCGCCTTTGTTTGCAGCTGCTCGTCACGTTGCCGTCAAAGGCGCCTTTGTTTAATGCTGCTCGCTTTATGCTCGAGCTAACTAACGACACCACAAAGCTCCCTGAAAACTGAATCTAAATGAAGGCGATAGTTTGGCGTTGTCAGCGAGGACATTGTTAAGGGGGAACACGGGCAGCAGTTCACTGAACGCCAACTGTGGGTGCACATTTGGCAAGGTGTGGGCATTCACCAAACCCTTATTATTTTAACTAAGTCAAATTGAATTTCTGTTTTTTGGCACTGCATGGAAAGCAGACACTACACAAATGCCACGTTTAGCTAGTTGGTAGCATTTATGAAATCTTAAGGGAGGGGTCTTTCACTCATCAACCCCATCTGATTTTTCTTGCTGGTGGTTTATGACTCGCAGTATACATTTGACCACAGGACATGGCAGCTGTTGTCAGTGCCTCAACGATTCTTCAGATGCATGTCGATTACACATTATCAAATGATGCTGACACCGCGTTTGCATGTTTCTGTCTGCATGTTTCCCACCCCCGCTTGCGGCTCCAACACATGGTGCAAGGAACAGGTGCTCCCCGATGACCATTGTCTGCCGGAGACGCACGTTGCTCACTAATCTCATTTGGGATGGTGCATATTGGCTGTTTAGTAGGCCGAGTCCAGGCCTGTCTGCACCTGGGAGGGCCTGCCGTGCCCACCCTGATCACAGCCTTTTGTTTCAGCATATTGAGGCTTGTGTCGTTCATTAACAATCAGCCCAGCGGTAGGTAGGCTTTCAAACGACTTCCCCGTCCCTCTTGTCTGATGAAGCGGTTCAAGCGCTCGCTGATGGCTCGGGATGGCATTGCTGCCACAAGTTCAAAGAAACAATGGTGTGTGTCTAACATGCAGTCACTGAATGCCAGTGCCGTTTTGTGTGGATTGATGGGCGGTGGTTGCTTGCAGTGCCGAAGACGGCCATGAGGTGTTGCCACTGTGCCTTGGTTTTTATCTTGGCTCATTTAGAGGGAGATGGTTGCATTGGAAAATACTATAAAACATCCGCTAGAGGTCACTAATTAGAGCCATCTGCTGATGGGAATTTATCAGCGACACTGAGTCACAATCACATTAATCTGACCTTTTCTTATATTTCCCCTTCAGGTAAATTGACCTGCAGTGCACTCTTAAAATGGCAGCCTCTGAAGGTGAATTATATCTAAAATACTATTTTAATGTATAGTAATACATTAATTAGGATTGTTTGTCATGCTTTAATGCATTGTGTTAACTTATATTTTTTTATGTCAGATATCCAGGTCAAGGAGCTTGACAAGCGGGCCTCTGGCCAAGCCTTTGAGGTCATCCTTGCTGCTCCTGCCCCAGATGCCAAGGGTGACTTCCCTCTGTCTCCTCCCAAGAAGAAGGACGTCTCGCTGGAGGAAATTCAGAGGAAGCTGGACGCTGCAGAGGAGAGACGCAAGGTAAAAATGTACTCAGTGTAGTAAACCGGAGTGTCCTATAAACCTGAACAATACACTTGCACTCAAACTACATGTTGGTGGATGCTGTTTAAATCTCAAAACCTTTCAGTCTGTAACACTAAGTCCATCAGCTAGTGGTGGATGATGGGTGGAGAAATGAGAATGTGATGGGCCGTAACATCCTAGTTTTAATCCCCCCCCCTTAGAACCATGAGGCTGAGGTTCTGAAGCACTTAGCTGAGAAGCGTGAGCATGAAAAGGAAGTGCTACAGAAAGCTATGGAAGAGAACAACAACTTCAGTAAGATGGCAGAGGAGAAGCTCAATCAGAAGATGGAGGCCAACAAAGAGAACCGCACAGCCCTTATGGCAGCCATGAACGAGAAGTTCAAGGAGAAGGTCAGTGTGTTTTCTAAAAATAGATGGAGTTGGCTTTCTTTTTCAAACACTGATGTTTGAACTTAACCCTGTTGTTTTTTTCCCCCTCAACTTAATAGGACAAGAAGTTGGAGGAGGTGCGAAAGAACAAGGAAACCAAAGAGGGCACTTCAGAAGACTGAAAGTTACAAACAGGGGATTGTATAGGGTTTTTTACGTATCCAAAGATTGATTTATTTTTTGTTCAGCCAGTATTTTTGTTGTGTTCACTACCCACCTTTTTGAAATAAATTCCACTTTGTGAAACTTTCAATTTTCCTGCTATAAGTGTACTTGGGCTGGTTTTACATGTGGCTCCCCCCCCCCCTTGTTGAGTCTAATCCATTTAATATGTAGCTTGTCAGTGCAGCTTCTGCCCTTTTTGAACATTAGCAGTGTGTACTCATCCTTTTTGAGGAAGCATGTTTCTATGCATAGGTCTTTTATCCCTGCCTATTTCATAGTGCATTTTGAAAATGTCCCTGTGAACCACACCTGTCTTCGGCACTTACTGTATACTGAAGTAGCACAAGGTTTGGTTGAGGCGTTGGCCATTATACATCCAGGTGTTAGTGCAGCTTTGCTACCCAGATTCTGCTAGTTTGCTCCTGCAGGTCATGTTTTGTGCCGCTGCTGATTCTTCGCCTTTATTAAAAATATGGGGTCGTCTTCAAAGCACATGACTTCTTGCTGTATAGCTGTGAATTAACATGCCAGACGTGTAAATGGATGCCATCTAGAACATTTCTGAACAGGGGCCTACACATGGAATGCAAAAGAGCAATACACTTCAGCATCTCAATAGATACAGTGGCTAGTTGACTTGAACTGTTGTACTAAAACAAATAAAATAAATATAAACAACATTTTGCTTGCTGTTGAAACTACTGGTGTCTTGTACTTTCATCTGTCCTTTTACTGTGGAAGGTAGCGGCTCAATAATACACGCAGTCACTGAGCAAATTCAGTTTAATGGCAATTTCTGTTACGGTTTTTGAGCAAATTGGAGGCTTCTAGTCAGTGAGATTGTACTTGAGGTTTGGCCAGTTAATGGGTTTCAATATCATGACAATGAATAAAACTAAACCCACCTTTGGTATTGCTGCCTCTGTAGAATAACTGTTCTTGTACTGATTATTGAACGTAACTGTCATTGCTAAATGTAGACTGTTGTAAGAGTACTCGGATGTATGTCGCCCCCAGCAGATTGCCTGACTACATATTTACAAACTGTCGAACTATAATCATGCTTTTAAATACTGGATCATCATCGGTTGTGGTAAATTAAAATGTGACTGCTGCTTTTGAGAACCACAAAATCCAATATTTTGAAAGAGACTAACTTGCAAGTTTAATGACATACTGTAGATCTGTATCGGTGACATCACTACACATGATGGCAACAATCTTTGTGTACTAGCTTCCTAAAAACTGCAGTGTTTGTCTCCCTCTGCTGGTCGTTTGATTTGGGGTTGGGGGTCGTGTACATAGATGTTAAACTATACCAAGAAGTTGAATATTTCTACAGAATACAGGAACCTGAAATTATAATATGTCCGATTACAGTGATGTTGAGATACAAAATACTGAGTTGAGTGTTAGACATAGCAGCAATGAAAGGGACAGTTACCCTGAAATGTTATACAGTATATTTAGCTGTGTGTATGTAAGTGTATTTTAGTAAAATATGCTGAAATCTTACTATAACCTACAGCCTTAATGACTCAATTACACAAATAAGGGCCACCTTGGTGTTCTGTCAAGTGACGTCAATTTTATATAGCCCTGTCAAAAGAAAAGTGTCTCAGAGGACTCTACAACCATTTGGTGCCCTCTATCCTTGAACCCTTAATTTGGAAAAAGAAAAACTCCTAAACGTATTTTAAAAAATCTTACTAATGAGAGCTGCTCCCCTGACTGGAAGCCATGGAAATTAATTTTATCATATCACACTTCAAAGTTCTGTTTTCCACATTGAAAAAACGTGGTGTTTGTTTTTAGTAATCACTTCAGCAAACCAGTAGAGGGCAATGTTGTTCTTTACTTCCCCCCTCTCTGCTCCTCTGTCTCTCTCCCAGTAGCCATCCTATCAGTTAAATTGAGGAAGGACTATTTAAACTTGGATTAAATCCATCTATTTTCTTTCACAGAAAGCCTACTTTTGAAGATTGCCGCAGCAAAATTTCCAAGCCCCTCACTAAAACTGTATTCAGTGTAATATTGCATGTAGGGTTGCATACCCTCATTGCATAGCTTCCAGAACCCATATGGAAAAACTCAAGTTGTTGGATTAATACTGAATTTTAGGACTATAAAATAATTATTCACATCTTTTACATTAGTAAAAGTAGAAATAAAACAATGGAAAAGTACCTTTTCATTTTTTAAAAGTAAAACGTTAAAGTATTATCAGCAAAATGTGTAGTATCAAACTTTTGTTACAGATCACTAAAAAGTATTTGCAATATACATCATTTGTTTGTTATTATAGATGCAGTAACATATAAGCATAATTTTATTTTTACTGGTGCTCAAAAAGGAGCGTGTGTGGCCACTTTACCAGCTTAACAACCTTTATGCTTGATTTTATTTCCTCAACAAAGAGTCAGCTGTAAAGTCTACTCCACCTCCACAGGACCGGTCACTGTCAGTACCTGCAGCAGATGTGAGAAGAGTCCTGCTGAGAGGGAATATGAGTAAAGCTGCTGGGCCTGACAACATTCCTGGCCGTGTACTAAAAACATGTGCCAATCAGCCTGCTTTAAAACAGCTGCTATCATCCCTGTAAAAAGTCTGCCGTGTCTAGTTTGAACAAGTACTGCCCTGTGGCTGGTTCTCCAGCACATGAAGAATACATCCCAGCCAGCCTGGACCCTCACCAGTTTGCTTTCAGAACAAACAGATCCACAGAGGACGGCATCTCCACTGCCCTCCACTCAGCCCTCACACACCTTGAGAAAAACAACACCTAATTCAGAATGCTGTTTGTGGATTTCAGCTCAGCATTCAAAACAATCTTCCCCATGGAACTGATAGCAAACTCAGCACTCTGCAACTGGATATTGGACTTCCTCACAAACAGACCCCAGACAGTTCAGGTTGGTGGATACACTACCTTCACGCTAGTGCTCAACACCGGAGCCCCCCAGGGCTGTGTGCTCAGCCCCCTCCTGTTCACGCTGTACACCCACGACTGCATCACCAGACATGGAGAGAACTCTGTTGTGAAGTTTGCAGACAAGAAGACCAGAAGATGTTCCGTCCCTCATGCATGAGACTTCTTCAGTTCTGACAGACTGGTAGGGAAAGTCAGCTATTTAAGCTCTGTGGGGTCATTGCCAAGATAATTTATACCGGCAGTTGTTATGGTTGTTAGAGCCACCCGAGGCTAAGTCTGAACGACCATTGTTGGCAACTTTACCTGAAGCCAAAAGTGATTGTTTAGTTTCCTGGGAAGTGATAAAAGGACAGCATTGTAAGTGGGGGATTAGTGGTGTCACAGTTTTAAGTGAAACAGCATTAACAGAGTAACATCACATAATTTACATTCCTTACTTACAATATCATTATTGTAACCCACAATGTTTTCTTGAACCTAACCAAGTAGTTTTGTTGCCTAAACCTAACCATACTACGACCATTGCACAATAACCACACATTTAATGTCATGTGAATTCCAATGGTCATATATGTTGTTTTGGGAGGCATTGACAATTGACCTATTTTGTCGTTTAAGTATGAGATGTATGCTAACATGACATGTAGATGCTAACGTATACTAATTAGCACTAAACACTAACTAGGGGAAAACCTAAGCGAAAACTTTGACCGGCACTCCAGCCGGCAGGAAATCACCAAAATCACTAGTCTTTATCCTCTGGACACCATTTATGACAATTCATAAAAGAGTTGTTGAGATATTTCAGTAAAGGCCAAAAGTGTCAACCTACTGGTGGAACTAGAAGAAGAGTCAGGGTACCAAGTCAGTAGAATTCAACCCCCAGGTGTTTCTACAATTTATAATGTTGACACATCTTGTAGGTTCTGAGATATTTCAGTATGGAGTAAAGTGGTGGACGACAGACCTACTGGCGTTGCCATCCCTATAACCATACAGCGTGGCTAAAAATGCATCATATTTTATGGATCATATGTTTTGAAATCTTAATTGACAGAAGAACTAGTATATATAGCTGTGAAAAAAAACTATATAGTGTATATATAAACATATAAAGTGAATAAAATGGAAATGCTTGAGTTCAAGTGCGTCATATATAATACATTTAGTTCCTTTCCACCAAAGTTAGAAGATAACTACTCCTCACTGGGTCTATAAACCCCTAAAACACCACCAAGAACCCCTCGGAGTGCCTGTTTGGGAGCTGCTGTGCCAGCTTACATATTAACTGTAAAAAGTATTTGAAAATATTTAAATCCTGTAGAATTCCTGTCAGATCTTATAAGCCCATATAAGAACCTTCCTTGTGGCTCTTCACAGAAAGTACCTGGCTGAACACATGCTGTGTATAATGCAGGTGACAATCAGGGTGTCATAGCGAAGCCTGGTAGTTGTCTGAAACGAGAACAAAAAAATAGTGACAAAAGAAATATTATGGCTGTTAAAGTCCTTGTCGGGGAACTCATTCTCCGTGCCTGATTTGCCATGCTGTTCCCAGGCAGAGGACAGTAATTAAGAAAAATCCACTGAGACTCAATACCTTGGCGAAAGGAGAAATGCGCGGGTTAAAAAGTTAAATGCACCATCGACGTGTCCAACTGTGGAGTTTTAACATGACTAGAAACAGAGCCCACTCCATGGACAAATGACCCGTAATAACCGTCTGCGATCCAGCTTTGTTACCACAGCAGGAGTGACCCAAGACAATCTTCTACATGGCAGCTCAATAATGCTCTGTATGCACAAGAGCTCTGATAATTACTGATACACACAGCATGAAAGGATTGCTCTTAATATTAAATACACACATTGTAAAACTAGCTTTAAGTGGCACAACACTGCAGGCCTACACTTTGATTTTACTCAGAATTGACAGTATAGACTGGGAGCTCATTAGTACTTACTACCTATTAGTGCACAGCCTGCAGAGTACTTATCTGTGATAATTTTGATAATTCTGTGATAATGTCGTGTACGGTTTTGGATGAGCTTTGTTAAATAACACACCAACATCAACACAACCCAAATGTTGCATGACCAGTAGGAATCCATGCATTTGTTCTTTTCATATTCAGTTGGGAATCCAAAATTGAAAAATATAACACATTTTTTTATTTTGTTATTTATTTACAAATTCAGGACAAAAGAAAATGAACAGCATGGTTTTCATGCTTTGATTTTATGCTCAAGTATAAATACTTACTTATATACTTAAATACTATAAAAAATAGTAAAATAGGGGGCGGAGGGGAACGTACGCTGACCCCTGGGCCCAGTTTGTTTCTGATTTAATGTGTCTGATTTGTGTAAACGCAAAGCTGCTAACTTCTTTGTGTCTTGATCATAATAAACGTGCGATAGCAATGGCGCAATCTGTTTTAATGTAATGAATATGATCTTCAACATCAACAAGAGTGTGTTTAAATACAAAAAAACTGAAGCACAAAGTGTAACTCACTGTATTCGTGTACTGGGACAGAAATGGGAACGCTTCATGATTTACCTGAGAATCCTCCATTTTTAAGTACACAATTTACTTTTATTAGTTTATTCATCTAACTACATTTTCCAAAACGTAAACAAATATAAAATGGGGCTCACATTGCTGACCACAGTCTAACTCACTGTATCCATGGCAACATGGATTCTTGCCTGTTTCCTGCCTTCCTGTTTCTTGTAAGAGTTTTA